GCTCATCAGATCCTCTGTACCTGAGGTCACTTTTGAGAAATAAAATAAATGGTTAAAATGTCAAAGAAGACTGCTCAGAAACAATTCAGTTACTTTTTGTTTTATAGAATCGTACATGAAGTCTCGGACGAGGTCTTCCTTTCACTCCCAGTGGACAGCGATTTGGCTCTGCCGTTGGTTGCCACAGTGTCGTGATATGCTACAAGTCTCTGGGTCAGATCAGCGAGCAGAGACATACACTCCTTACTGATGGCGTTCCAGTTATGAGGATGACCACCTGGGACAGTCAAGACACACATTTTAATTTTGTCATACTAGAAGATTTAAAGTGTGTCAACATTTATTTAACATGATTAAAAAAACATTTCAAGAAAGGTCCCCTTATGTAGACAACAAGAACGGACCTGGCTGACTCAGACCGAAGACCTCACAGCGTCGTGATGGGGAGTGTTGAGACAGCAGAGCCAAGTCCTGCAGAGCTAGAAACTAAAAGTTGTGGAAAGATATGTTAAAACACTCAAATTGAATTATACTAAAGCACACCATGAGGAAACTTAAAGAACCTGACATGTTTCATCTACCTTTACTATGGCTGGCTGACTTTCAGTAAGAACTTTGGGAAGACACAGGAGGGCATCCTCAGTGAAAGACGACTGCACAGGAAAACTGTACATCTGCAGACGAGAGGAAACATGTTGAAAAACATTAAACCTTAAAGACAGATCATCACATTACATTTGAAGTGATCACAATTGCTGAATCCTTGGATGTTCGTCATTATGGTGCAGTTTAGTCTGAGGCGAATTATGTACTTAAACATTCAAGGCAGTGACAGCACTGCCCCCTAGTGTCTACAAATATGTAAAAAGCTAACAGGAGAACTCTGCAATTCAACACTCATGTTTGGATATTACATTTGTTATTAGAACATGATACTGTGGTGGTCAGTCTGCAACTTAGGCTTTGATTATTGTACGACTTTTAGACTTTGGATGGACCCAGGTCAGACTTCATTAGATAGAAAATAAGACACTGATTACAAGACCAGTGAAACATGTGGTGGTGGTGTTTGTGTATCTGCATTGGATGTTGTTTAAATGCTACACATACCTCAGTGACAAAGATCCGAAAGAGCAGCAGTGTGACGTGCCATGTGAAGAGGAGGAAGGTGGCACTCATCCACAGGTGGTAGAGCAGAGAGAGGTCCAGCAGTCCTGCTATACTGTCAAGCTGGTGGGCAGAACTGCGCGAGGAGACGACACAAACAACACTCAGTAATGCAGATGTGTTGCTTTACATCAGTCCAGCGAGCAGCACACGGCAAAGGACAAGACAAGAATGTTTGTTTAATGAAATTATACAGACTCAATACTGACCTGTTCAACTGAAGATTCAATGTTTTACAAATCCACGCTCTTGGAATGTCTCCTGTTGGCATTAAATTAGACATATTTTGGAATTCAACCGGGAATAAATGAGCTCAGGCACAATAATAACACCCAAAAAAAGCATGTCCAATAAAGAGAACTTCAAGGCTTTCAGCTCCTTGAGTATTTTGTTCTGAGTGGTGTCACTCGTAGAGAGAAATAACTCACCCAAGAAGAAATACACAACAATGTAGTTCCTGACAGAGTACAGTGCTTGAGTGGCGCTGCACTTCACCACCAGAGGTAGGGATCCCTTAAAGCGGAGGTATTTGTGTTGCTGTGGAACAATTACAATAAGTTCACATCACATTCAAGTTCACATTACATCAACCATAAACAGCTTTTTAAAGGTCAGAACCAGTCATTTTGTTTTTCTAAAGTTTGGATCAGCCTGTGTGGTTTCAGACACCAGGACTAAAAAATCCTGATAGGAAGAAGTTTATAAACTTTTTTTTTTTTTAAACAACAAAAGAATTGTCTTTGCCTTCTACAGTTAGAAACTTAAATATTCAGTAGTGGTTGTGACATCATCAGTCAGATAAATTAGTAATATCACTTAACTTACCTGAACAGTTTGGAAAGCCACATAGTTCATGTTGTGGATCACACCCAGCAGACTGTGAGAGAAACCAACGAAGGCTCCAGCCAGCAGAAGGAAGACGTGATACTCATTCAGACACATTGAAGCGGAACTGTCGAGGTTTAAAAAACAAGTAGAAAATTAAGACTGTGGATGAAGAATGTTTCAATTAACATAATGTTGTTGTTTCTTTCTTTTACACCACAGCTTCTTACCCCTCACAAGAATAACCAAGTGTCTCATATCTGCCCCCAATGGTGATGGCACTACACCAACCAATAATTATTCCCATGATGCAGTGGGCCATGGAGCTCAAAAACTGACGAGGGTGGAGCAGCTGACCCAACAGGGCGATCTTTGAGCATGCAATAGTGGGAATGACTGCAGATAAGAGGAAAAAACATCCGTTACAGACAGACATGTGTGTGCCTACTTTCAAAAACTTTTTCATCTGAATGTGTGAATATTACTCGGGTGCAACGGAGAAAGAACTGAAACTACAGATTAATGACCAATTTTGGAAATATTTGTATGAGCAATGTTGAAATAATTCATTAAAAGACAGAAAATGAAATCAATGCTGTTTAGAATATTTGTAATTTTAGTCTTTTGTTAAGATCAGATACTAAAATTAATTTTTCCTAACATGCAAAGATCATTTTGAATAAACTTGTTATTCTACTCGTGGAAGAAATAGGTGAGTATTTTATTATCTTTGGCTAAATAGAACTGCAAATGAGGTTTGTGAATGTTTCAAACAATTTGTAGATTATTCAAGGAATTCATAAATGTATAATAAATACACAACACATCTGGTTAATTCTCATGAGCTGTCATACTAAATGATGCGGCTTTGATCTGATCTAACTGAAATCTGAGTAAACCAAAGCTGACATCAAGGATGTATTCATCTCTATTCTGTAAAGTATCTTTTCAATCACCTGTATAATACTCCAGGTTCAGGAACCCCACCATGAGGATCACTCCAAACAGTAATATCAAGGAGAAGATGGCACTTGCACTTGATAGGAGGGACATGCATTCTGTAATTAGAAAGTAAGCCACAGTAAGTTTCACACATTTTCATAAAGCAGTGAATCAAATCTCCCAGTAAACATGTCGACTGACCTAATATCGTCTGGATAGGATGAAGGAGACTGAACCGGCTGAGGATAACAAAAACCGCAGTAGTGGGTGGCAACAACAGGACAGCCCAAGCAATACTGGCCGCAGCTCTCCAGCAAATAACCTGAAAAGAACAATCATCATCATCATCATTATCATCATCAACCTTTATTTAAGTTCTCGGAGAGATCATTGAGGACGACCCTCATTTACAATGATGCCGAGAAAACATAAATGATAAACAACGAGAAATGAGATAAAGCTACTACAGCTACTCTCTCTCTCCCTGATTTCTGACTCTATCCACTGTCCTATCTCTACATTAAAAGGCACAAAAGCCCCAGAAAAATTCTTTAAAAAAAAAAAAGAGCAATAAAATATATACACTAAAATAATGTAAAAGCTTGAAATTACTACAGTGATAAGTCAATAATTAAAATCATATAAGACAGTTACAGTCAGGTGTTGTGTGGTTAAAAATAATATTTCCAAAAGTGTCCATAAGGGATAAAAGTGCTCAAATTCAGGTCCTGTTGTAAAACGTTCCAGCACTAACACTAAAAGCAGTTTTCAAAATCAGTCGTTACAGAAGACATAACAGAAACTCAATTCTTAAGAAACCTACACCAGGGAGGGGCAACTTTGGTCACAGCAAGGGGCCACATTCAAATTTAACTCAACATATACCAGTGATCATATATTATTATGGACATACTTCTGGGTTTTATGATTTCATGGCAGATTTTGATATATAAAAATTGACCTGAGGGCCACATTGAGGGTTGACGACCCCCCTGACCTACACGAAGCCACTGCTGTTAACATCTGGACATTTAATTGACTGTCATGCTATATATTTTTTGCAGCAGAAATTTTGTGCATGATCTCTTCTTATTAATTGTTTGTGTCACAGTTTGAAAATCCAAATGCTGACCTGTGTTTTAAATAAATATATTATTTATTAAATTGTTGAATTATGTATTATGTATTTCTGCTCGACTTGATTTATTTATTTAAACACAAGTCTTTAAATTCAAAATAAACATTAAAAAGTATTCTAACATGTCCTGAATTATTTTTATTGTTATGAATGTTTTGTTTTGACTCATAGCCGATAAGCTTGATAAGGCTAATAATAGACTGTATGGTATTTCTTTTACATCATGCCAAGTGTCGGTATCTTTATCGTAGGCTCAGTTCTTGCTCTGTATCTTATTATTTCTTAACATTTACGTCGCTGAATAGAAGCTGGAGCTGCTTTAAGATGCTCAGACATCATCACCACACAGGCTACAGGAAGTTAGCTCGCTGCAAACCGCGATTTATTTTTTCTCCATTAAAAACGTAAAATAAAGTTTTAAAAACTCACCTTGCGGACGAACCAACAACTCTGCTGTGTGGAAAACATGTCGTTCGGAGAGATGGAGAGCCACACGGCGATTTCTAAATCTCTTCGGCTCTCCTGCTGTCAAACTATTTTTCCACTCAGCTTTCCCATATCGCGCCACATGCATTCAAAGGACCTCTGAAGGACCCCGATTAATAGGTTGGCCACACAACTGCCTGTTGCCAATAGTTCAGCCAAAACGATAGAGTTTAATTAGCTCAGTAGCTTAAAAAAAAACATTAATACATTTGTTAAAAAGAGAAACTACAGCTTGATGAAACTGTTTCAAAGGTATGCTTAAACAGAACTATAAAGTAAGGATGTAGTTGAATGATACCTTGTCTAATATAAATACAAAAATACACAAAGAAGTCATGTCCATCATGTCCACTCGTGACTTATCAGTTCCAGTCATGTTTAATAAAAGTCCAATGATGATTTATAACTACTTTTTCTTTATTTAGAGTGTAAGTAGCTGAAGTCAGTTTTGAATTCCTTTAGTTTCATCATGCATAAACACTTTCTTATCATTGTGATAGGCATTTCCGTAAGTTGGAAAGCTGTGTTTCTCCAAAACAGTCTTTCGGTCATGTTCCCGAACAAATGGCTTAGTCTCAAAGGCGTTGACTGGAAGCTTTTGAGATGAGCCGACGGACATCTCAGTTTGAACTGCTTTGTGGATGACTGCTTTCTGTCCGTGTTTCTGGTTAATTGCAGGGAGGGCAAGCTGCTCCCTCTGCACCTTCTTGTCTTCCCACAGCTTTAGTAGACGCCGCTGGTTATTTGTCATATCCTTGAGATTTTGCTGCAATGACTGCACTTGATCCTCCAGCAGTGTTTTAGAGGTGACTGTGTTTGCCAACTCTGATGTCAAATCATCAATGGTTATACTCAGTTTCCCAGCCTTGTCCACCAGAGAACTGCACTCACGCTCCTTTTCATACAAGTCCATGATTATGTCCTTTGTGGTCTTTCCATTGAACGTTGGGCTGCACTCCAGTCCAATCTCAGTACGAAGAGACTTCACTTGTTTTCTCAGCTCCTTGTTGTCCATCGTCAAAGTCTTCCATTTCTGTTTCAGAGCCTCAGTTGTTCGCATCCTGGACTCGTACTGCCTCAGCTTCTCTCGGAGGACACTTTCCCTGTGCATGGCATCGTCTCTTTCCTTTCTGCATTTCTCCAAAAGTTTCAACGTCTCAAATTTAGAAACCTTTTCCACTTTCCCATTTGAGCTGGCCATCCTTTTGGTAAGATTTCCCAATCCCAATATACAAAAAAAAAAAGAAAAGAAACTTTAAAACAGCATTTCTTCTTCTTTTAAAAATCTGTTTCTCACAAGCTGTTCAAATAATCCCTGAGCATTGTGTTGGCTAAATCCTCTTCACAAGCACGAGCAGACACATGAATGCCTGAAACTGAGGCAGGTGACATTTCTCTAACAGGGTTATCTGTTTGACAGGCGGCTCCTGTGTAACTCAAAGCTGGGGCTAGAATGACCATTAATTAGGGCGCCGCCATCCCTTTGACACCGTTTCAAGTGACACCCATTTTTTCCCCTTTTTTGTTAATTAATCTGAAAAGTCTGCTCCTCTTAATCAATGAAAATATTGAACACAGACTTCACACAGGGCTTATGAGTGTAAGGTGCTAACAACAAGCAGGCTTTTAACAGAAGCAGGCTTTACATATATAAGTAACATTTTCCACTGCAGGTGATCTCTGCATCCAAACACTGACACCGCAGATTCTATCGGTTTGCTCGAGCACACGACAGTTTAGATGGATGAGTTGGAAAAAAAAACGGTAGCAGCAGCCAAATGTCCACTTCCAAAGTGAGATGCTCTCTTTGAAATGTAGAAGTTATACCTATTAGTAACGATCTCCCCCTTTAATATTTAAAATGTGCAGCTGTTGAAATGTACTGGCAGCCATTAACGCTGTGAGGGGCTGCTGGGGAGGGTCACGTTGTCTTACACGTGTAGAGGTGAGTCGAGGTTGATACGGGCAAGATTCAAACAAAACCAGAGTCACTTCACATTTTGTACAAGGATCATGAAGAAGACACGCTGCTGAAAACATAAAGAGGACTCAGTTTTGTGGTCATGTATGATCTTGCTCTTACAGTTGACTTTGTTTTATTGAAGGATAGTTAGTACCCTGTACTGTTCTGAATGGGTAATGTTGTGCTTGTTTGGGACTGTTTTATGTGTATATTCAGTATTGTTGAGTTTTATGTCTTTGTCTAAAGGTCCATCTAGGGGCGGGCATTGCAAATTAGCTTAGGCTATAAACGCTGTAGTGTGGCAATGGTTAACTTGCTCCAAACTTGTCCCTATACAAATAAACATGAAATAAAATAAATTTAATAACAATATTATATTATCAGAAGCTAAACAGACACTAGTTATTGAACCTGCTGTGACATCATTTAATTGGAATGAAATCAATGTCATACCTGTTTAACCAACACTTTCCTGTTTTAGGTTTTTGTGTTTTTGAATGGGTTTTAGAGGTGCTCATTCAAATATTTTATCCCATTTGAATTCAAGATTTTTTTTTATTTGTCACATGCTCATACAGATGTGCAGTAGAACAAGTCTAGCTGTTATCCCATTTCCAGTGTAGAAAGAAATGTAATAAAGAGGCACATAAGACAAAAGAAAAGTGATCTGTTTATAGAGTTTATTTGTGAAAAGGTGTGCTTTAAAAAGGCTACAGGTTGACTGTAGATTCATTATCACAACAACGATCATGTCGTTAGTAAAAGGTGGGTTCAAAATGAATCAATGAAGATTTGAATCTCTTACGCATGCAGCACTTGTTGAGACTGAACAGATTAAATTCCACATAACAAACATTGGTTGTTAATCAAACAGAGAGTTAAACCAGCTATTAATTCCCCTTAATATTTACACTTGGTCTTTGGCATTAGTCCAGGGCACTTAGGGTTACTTCAGTCATATATAGATACAAAAATTCCATTTGTACATAACAACTCCCAGCCTTGAATATGTCATCTACTCTTATCATTGTTTTGTAGTTTATATAGACAACTTTTTACAAAAAAAATAAAACAAGCCGGTTCCCGATAACCCAATAAAAAAAATGCATATACAGAATATCTTTGAGACTTGTATTCCAAATGTCAACGAAAGAACTACAAAGTAGAAAACTAAAATTCTAAGAGACCGTATGTGCAATGTGACACCATACCCTATTCATCTCAAAGGAAGTTTAGAAGCCATCCCATTAGAAAGAACATACTTGGTACCAGTGTTCATTTTCAGAGGTCACGCAGTGGAACCGAGCAGAGACACTGGGTTATAAGGTCTTCAGCGAGAGCGTCGTCCAAGTGCAGGTGAAATCCAGACGACCCATGACCTCATCACCACAGCAACCCGACTCTCCCCGATAAGGCAACAGGAGAATCTGCAATTTTGAAGAGAATAACACATGCTTTGGGAAGGAGAAATCATGTAGAGGAAGTCCGGTGTCAGATGTTGAGCTTTAGTGGGTCAAAGAAGAAGAAAAAAAAAAACCACACTTAGGCATAGGCCAGGAAAAATAGGCCAACGATGTAGAGCCGCTGAAGTAAAGGTTGTTTTATTACAGGATCAAAAGTGTGATGAGATAATCTTCGACCATAGGAAACCCCTTACATAATTTAAAGTAGTACAACGACAAAATCATAAAGGTCAAAACTGAGAAATGTCATTGTTTTTGGAAAATTATATGACACATTTTATTTTATAAAAAAGGGGGAACAGTGGCAACTAAAGACTTTACAGTTCTGAAATGCTAAGAGAAAACACCTGAGAGCATCCCAGAGAGGACACGTCTGGAATAATTCTGTGAACACAGCTTATTAAACCCCCCCTCGTGTCTCTTGGTCCAGGCTGAGTTATGGACTGAGGTAGAGTGAAAAAGTGTCCGTGGTCTGACGAGTCAAAATGTGTGCTAAAGGGCAGAGGGACCATCTGGATTGTTTTCATCCGCCCTCAGTTCCAAAGCCAGCAACCATGATGGTATGGGTAACCTGCATGTTTCTGAAGGCACCATAAATACTCAACCATGTATACAGGCTTTTGGACCAACATGTGACAACTTCCTTTTCAGGGAAGGCTTTGCTCATTTTAGCAAGACAATGCCAATCCATTTACTGCATGTTTAACAGCCTGGCTCTGTGGTAAAAGAGTTCGGGTGATAAACTGGACTTCCTGCAGTCCCGTCTTGTTGCTCAATGAAAATGTGTGGAGCATAAGACAAAGGAGACCCTGAACTGTTGAACAGATGAAACAATACATCAAGCAAGAATGGTAAAAACATTCCACTTTCAAAATGACAGAAATGAGTCTCCTCTCTTCCAAAACCCTCACAGAGTGTTAAGGAAGATGGCATGCTTCAGAGTGGTAAACATACCCCTGCACAAACATTTTGGAAGCATGTTGCTGATATCAAATTTTAAATTGGCAAAAGATCGTTTTCGTCCGAAAACGATGACATTTCTCAAGATTCAACATCCTTGTGCTAGTGTCATTAAAATGAGATTTGAGTGGTTTTGCAAATCCTCACATTCTGCTTTGATGAACAGTTTACACAATGTCACATCTTCTTAGGAAACAGGGTGGTACAAAAACAGACATTTGAAAGTGGCAGCCGGAGGAATATGACTTACAGGTATCAGGTTATAAGAGTGTATTTACACAATGGGATCATGGCTTTAAAAGGATGTGTGTCACTTTTGTTTACCTTTAAACAAAGGCTCTCATGTGGAAGACGTCACCTGGTCTGAAGTAGAAATTTCAGCGGGTTCTGGTTTGCTGAAGAAATAGGCCTGGAAAAAGAAATGAAGAAAAGAGTGTAACCAAACCTGCGATAAGGCAATTACATCATTAAGAGAGACTACTAATCAATCATGGACTGAAGCTGGTGTGTCTGGGACTAAGTGTTCAAGCAGAGAATAAAGCTGTACTGGCAACCATTCATTTTGGTCAGCCTTCAGACACGGGCTTACATCTTAAGACTCATTACGTGAATGTCACCAGCTATACGACACCTCTGTGGGCCTGACAGTCTTCACATTAACAAGTGCACGTTCCCACACCAGTTAGCAAACCCTGTCACAATTTCCAGAGAGGAGAGACTCCCGGGAGGGTACTGAACTTGATACCATCAGGTCCCAGAAAACACACAGAAAGAGACACACAGAAATGTCCCTGCGCTGTTAGTGTGTCGTCTGTGATTGACAAAGACAAGGTGGGTCAAGTCTTGGCCGTGCTACTGAGATCATCCTGGACAAATTGGAGTGAGTCAATCATTGTTGTTATCTACACCAAGATGGACGGGAAGGCTTGAATCAGCTAGATTGGCAAAGATGGAGTTTGCCAAAAGCAGGACAAAGAATGATATATCCCGTTTCCTTACACAGATTTATTTTCCATTTCTCTCAAATTTGTAATTAATCATGAACCAATGAAGTTACGTGAAATCAGCATCACAGCTATTGAGCACTATTACCTTGCAACCGACTGCAAGCAGGACGTTGAGCAGAGCGATGGTTGAAAGGATTGATATCATGACTTTGGGATGGTCGTCCCTGACTGCAGGCAAGAAAGTCATGACAAGTACCGAGCCGGAGAGACACAGAGCCCCGACGATGGAGCACCACCTCAGCCACTCATACGGGAGAATCCATAGGACCTTATGGAGGAAACGACAGGGCATTATGGTGTTAGTAGTGTTTCATGTAAATACAACTTATACAAGGCACAAGCAATGCTTTACATTAAGGTCAGGTGTAATATTATGAAATCTTTTTGCATGGTGGAGTAGAAAATGATACGTTCAAGCTGTGTAAAATCTAATTTTAACTTTTGTTTTTGAGCTGGGATGATGTCTCACAGTCTGTAGAATATGAAATAGAGCAGTATATTGATTATTACACCTACGTACATCCCTCATTATTATTTGAGCTCTTACCACTGCTGGAATGTAAATCGCGAGGGAATATCCGTACACACATACGATCTCCATGAAGGAATATGACACCAGGCTCAGGATTTTGTTGTTCCTCCACAGCAGGGTACCCCAGAGGGCAAGAGGCACCAACCAAGCATAGCTGAAGATGGCCGTTGCAGCAATGGTCACTGGAAAAAAAAAAAAAAAAGAGCGTAAAAAAAAAATTCCTCTTTGATGAAACTTGCAGAGGAAAGCGGTCAAAAAAACAGCACTCACCTTTTC